CCAAATCCTATAGACCTAAAACAGCCTGCTGAGGCACTAGTTCAGCAGATCTTACGCAGGGCAATGATCATCCAAGTCCAGACAAGAACCAACTCCATTGTGCATTTTATTCCAATAACAAATACAATGAACAGGTTTCCTATATCTCTTTTCTTTAAGCCTTTCCTATGGCTTTCCTTTGTGTGGCTTGAAACACCCTGGTACCCCGTTTGCCTACTAGTGCTCTGGCTCCCACCACCCACCTGTCTCCAATATATACAATTACACCAGGTGCTCTCACAGTGCCCAAACATGCCTTCAAAATAAAAGCATATAAACTACTTTGACGCTAACTAAGAATACATTTACAATAAACACGCAAGAAATAAATGTTAAACTGTTAAATAATATAAAGAGATATATAGCTCCAACAGCCGCCTTTAGCTTAGCAGTGGTGACGTGAAGTCATGTGATCGGGCTGTAGTTCCTTTATAGCTCAACATTAGCTTTTTACTTCAGATATCATAAAGTAGTTCATATTAGGATCCTGCTGAACTATAAGTATCTATTTTTTACAGAGATTATTTCTGCAATAATCCAAAATCCCATGGACCAGGGAGATGTTGCCTTCAGGGACCAACACAGGAATACTTCATCCTGCAGAACTCCATGTTGCCTTGCTGTTTATCTGTTAGGTTAACATCCCCTCACATTGATCAGATGAATAAAAAGTGCGTCTCCTCAGCGATCAGAGGAAAGTGAAGCTCTCAGATTAACAGCGTGACTCATCGTCGGACTAACAACTCTGTAAACATGAATTATTGAGTCTGGGGGCTGTGTCCTGCACCGAGAAACACTTCTGCTTTCATCAAACGCACATTTCCTTTTCTTAGATGATGAGCAACGGGACCCTTTTATGTCAATTTGGCATATTTCTGCACAATACCTCCACTTTGTAAAACTACACAGCTCTTCCACTTTACAACACAGAGAGATTCTACATAATTGTTCCTTTTTTTGCTTAATTATTTCTTGTCAACATGTTGTATTCTGTTATATTTCTTAAAGGAGAGGTGTCATGGCCATTTCCACTGATCATAATTCCATTGTTGAGGTATACTAAAATAGATTTATACTGTGCAATTTTCCAAACTCACATTGGTTTCGCATACAGCATCTCTGTA